GGTGATAGGGGTCTTAAAATCGGACCAGGTTGCGAAATCAGACGCGTGGTTGTTATACCACATGCCGGCCACACCCGCGAGGCAGAAAACCAGGTTGCCGAGTTTACCTGCCTCGTCCCAATGATTGGGGACGCTGACGCGTTCGTACATGGCGAGCCAGTCCTCGACGTCGGTGCCATCCGCGCCGGTGAAGACAGGTGGGTCGCGGATGCGGGGGACACCGGAACATGGCGTCGGCGCAGGAGGAAGCGTTTGCTGGGCGGCGTCTTGTTGCATGGTTGAAGGCACGGTACGGGATCTAAGCTCCAAGGGCATCGAATGTGAACCGAAGATGTTTGAAGTGCACAGCACTCTCCACCAAAATGTTAAGGCGTTTATTAGCCGGCCCACAGCGAGCAAGCACAATGGCGACAGTAACGGCCAAGCACGGGCTCTCAGCGCGAGCGGCGTCCTTGTTGGGTAGCCCCACTAGAAGGTACTCAAGAGTTCGACCCATTTCATAGTTCGGAGGCTTCGCTACAAAACAAAATAATATTGTTCAACTCAAACGCTCATAACACTGTGTAATTCGTAACATAATGTATTTATTAATTTGGCCTGTACAATGTGAATGATGCATCCGTCGATTCGCAGTATAGTATAAGCAATAAAGATAGCTAATTAGGATTTCGTCGACTGTAAAAAGCGTCCGACTCAAACGTATGCCGAATCATCGAAAGTGTCCAGGAAACAATAAAAGACCTATTACATCAATGTTTTTTTCCAGATTCTTGAAGATGTGAATCTATTCTTTATAATGAACACAGGAGTGTAAAAGCCGCGATTAATGTAATTTGCGACTTCGCTCAGAATGTCATCGCTGATCAAGACGCCTCCTATATGTATCCCCACTACTAACACCAACACGCGCACATCAGCATATTTTTTTTTCACCCGAGAAATGCGAAGTTACATATCGCTCATCCATCGCAAAGCAACAGGGGCGTTTTGTGCCAGCATGCTGACCCCGGCTAAAACTCTTCAACAGCTACGACCAGTTTCAGTTCTCTTATATAGCGCGCACATTGACCTAAACCGAAACGAAGCTACTGAGTATACCGCAATCGCTATGGATGAAACCATTGTCGCTAAAGCATGGTCTAGCATTCACGCAGTCCTAAAAGCACGCATGGCCAGACTCGAAGCGAAAATAAATGCTGAGCACTGCGTGTACTGCACATTAAGCTTGGCTCTCACACACATGCACGACCCCGGATTGTGTCTGCGCAGTTCTGAAGGCACGTGGAGAAAAGGAAACTATAGTTTACAGCAGCTTTGTCTCCATTCGCTATCAATGTTATCATGGATAGCGGCCGTACAACACGCGCGTTCCGAGAAAAATATAAAACGCAACCAGCTTACCGCAGCTAAGATTTTTACAGTGGAAGCTGTTATGAGATTAAAACTTGGGTCTCGCGCAGTTGTCTGCCGCCGTCGGTGTCCGTAACCCCATCGCACAAAATTGAAAAAAAGCTAGTACTAATTAAACAGTGGGGCTCAAACCCGGGTCCGCTGGGTGTCAGCCCAGTGTTCTACTACTGAGCCACGCCACTGCTTGGGACCTGTTGGCAAACTTGCCTTGAACAAGCTTGATGTCGGGAAAGCAATCGCGTTAATACGACTTATAAAGCGTTTTAAAACAGCGAAACAAGAACCAGTTGTCACACACTGCGAATAGCTTATAACGAGTGGGTCGTCCAATGCCCCAACTCACTACGAAAGCTTGTTCTTGTTCCCCTATTAACTGTGGCGCATACCCACTTCAGCCACAAATCCTCATCTTCTTTAGCCGCTGCATGAACAATTGGCACGAAATTCCTTGCAAGTGTTTAGCGGATACCACGCTTTCAGAAGAATGACAAAACATAGCATGGTAAAAGCCAGCCTAACACCCAAACAAATTTTATTATCAACGTTCTATTGGGTATAAAGCAAGTATGCTTGCCGTAGTTACACAATTAGTGCTTTGAAAGGCTCTGAAATGTGCACGTTAAAGAACCCCAGGCGGTCCAACTTTCCGGAGTTACTCCACTACGGCGTCTCTCATAATCATAAGGCGGTTTCAGGACGTAAACGCCATATATCAATCAATCAATCAATTAATCAATCAATCAATAATCAATCAATCAAAGCCTCTGAAACGCTGTTCTTCTAGCTTTCGCTGTGACTGTGCTGCGTCTTCCGCACAGGCCTGGCATTTTGCGGAGGGAGAGAGAGGGGAGAAGCAGACCGACGTGGGGGCCAGGCAGGCATACGTGGTCGAGAGTATAGTCGAGAGTCAACTTGAGGTATGTACGCCATGCCAAAAAAAAAAAAAAAAACATTTGTGTGTGGTGGACGGGGGAGGGCACGTGACTACTCACGTGACCTCCACGTGCTGTCACGCACGCGGTGATAATGCCGTGCGAGATCACACGTGAAAAATCGCTTATTTCTGTTCTTTTTTTTTGTGTGTGCAATGAGCCAGATTGTGGAAGTCCTGAAAGTAGGCTGTAAGTATGACTCGCGACATGTGCCACCACGAAATGTGGTGCTTTGTCGCCTCTCATAACAACAAGACTTGCATGTACTACGGCGACTGAAAGAAACGCAAACAATGCGGCGTACATGTTTGTTTTAAGATTTTTATTGATGTTGTTCTGATTACATTTAATGGAATGCACAACGCTGATTAGACTCATAGCCATAGGCTAGTAGGGGGGTCTAACGAGAGAAGGTGCACAAGCAGGATACAATTTGTATAAAAAATCTGAACATCAAAAATTTTTTTTCAAGAAAACGAACAAAAATACACGAGAGATTTCATTGGAACGTAAATGCTTGATAGAACGTACAGAAGTGTACAAAAGACTCACTTTTACCATTTTCATAATTAATCAAATAAACAAGTACAAACGAAACATCAGACTATGTGTAAGGTTTTGTACATGGTCAATACTACTGTTCTACATGTTGCAAATATATTTTAGGTGCGCTTGATAAAGCCCTAGAATCTTTTATTTGAAGTGGTATGTTACTCCACACTTTAGCTCCTACGAACTGTAGTAAGTGTTCACCATACAAGTTATTAGTAGGTGGAAGATAAAATTCCGCAATGTCATGCATCTAGTGACGCGGGAGGCGGAAGAAAAGATAGATACATAGAACGGTACACTGTGTGCAATAACATTACTATTGCCTGCTGTTTCGCATTTATTTCGAAGCGGTGGCAGTGTGGATGGTAATAACAACCTATAAAGTCATGCATGATACAAACAAGAGCCACTCCAGCCTCTTTTTACTGCCACCGAAGTCACAGCGTGATCAAAGCATGCAGCGCGCTGCGTGGTTCCCGTTTCCTTGAATTCCTCCTGGACACACCTTGCAACTCGTTGCCCTTTAGTCGGTGTTTATAGAATATCTTTTGAATTCTGATGTGAACACGTAAGAAGTCAAACTGTCAAATCTTTACATCGTCGTATCTAGAAAACGTTCAGCCTAATTTCTACGTCCAGCACTAATGAGGCCAACGGCTTCCTACACATGTGAAAGTCCGGACCATCTAAACAAAATCTGGGTGGATCGGTAGTTACATCAATCGGTAAACTGTGCAACCACGCACATTTCATTTGGTCTTCTTTCAGAAATGACAATAGCCGCATTGCACTTGTCATTTTGGACTTACTTCTTTCCACTAAATTCAAACTTATAACGCTACATTGCTGTATGGTATGTGTAAATCGCCTGATTCCTATGTTTTCGCCCACGTAGCTTTATGGGAACTTACAGAATGCGAGTACAAGCGTCCTAGGAAGACATGCAAAAAGGCACGAAACGTAGATTCTCGTTAGAAACTCTGCACAAGCGCCCGAGACGCCAAGACACTCGATCTATTTTGTTCCTATTGGCCGCGAGGGCCACCACTAGAGAGGTCAGCGCTGCGATCGTTTTACTGACACAGATAGGATGCGTGCGCTCGCCTTGCTGGGTAGTAGTCGTGGAATATGGCAGCTTTGCTTTCGCGACACCACTTGCATCGTCCCCCATGCTGCACCGGTTCTTAGCCAAGATTTTACGATGGCAATGAGACACGAGAGCACCAGCGGGAGCACCGATTCGTAGTTTGCTTGCCCGTATTACCAGGTCTTACCGCTTCTTTAAGCACCATGCTTCAAAACAAAGGGAATCACGCACGGTGTCCACAGCAAAAGAGCAGGAAATGCGGTGATGTGTGACGTCATCACGTAGGTGGCGCCACGGTATATCTTCGAGGCCATAGCATTAGTGCTAAATAAACATAGCTAGCCAGTTATGGCAGTGTTAAAGAGCATTGACCATCTTTTTTGGTTTGTTTTCTCGCTTCATGCCACGCAAACTGTCAAGGAGAAATCGGTTTGCGATTTCGACAGAAATTTACTCTGGCGGAAACTCATCACATTAAAACATGACGTCACAACGGCTCTCTGTTTTGTTATTTTGCTATTTTATGTCACGTACCAGCATGTGAACGTGAATAATTTCTGGACAAAGCGAATTTCGAAGTCATCTACGAACTGATCTTGCAGTTAAGGCATGCGTCTTTTACGAGGAACGTCCACAGTATATCGGCAGTTTTTCGGGTATTATTGGGCAACTGAACTGAGCCGGGCGTTGGTCCTTAGGTTCGCCATTGAAGCACGCCACGTTCCCTTATCTGTACAAGATGCAATCCTATCTCACTCCCGCTTCGTAACAAAAAACCTAATGAACAATCCTATCGTCGTTACCACGTGTTCGTGCAGTTTCGCCGCGCAGAATGCGCATGCGTCAGACTGCTGACGTCAAAGAGCGAGAGAAGAAGTACACTTCCGCAGCTTAGCTCGCACATTCGTCAACAGCTGAAGGGAGGGACCACTACTCTCCAGTTCCCGAGAAGCAACACCAGCGGGTACGCTAAGCCTGTCTGCAATTCCGTGCTAGAATCCGACGACACCTCACCCGTAATGGCAGCCAACGAGAGGTGAGCCTTCGCACGTTTGAAACCGTTCATTACTTTTTATTGGCAATGCAGACATCTAGGTCTTGCAGTTCGTCAGAGTTTCTTTGTCTCGAAAAATAGCAATCGAAATTGAAAATGGCTCACTTTTGCAGCTGAAACGCTTTTCAACACTGGCTTGTTCCGGTTCGAATGGTTTCAAAATGTTATGCTTACTATCAAAGGGGCGGCTATTCTTACTAAAATTCCAACAAAGCTTGTGTAGCATTGTTGTGCAGCTTGTGTTGCTTTGTGTTGATTCGCCGGGTGTTTTGAAATTGTAGATCAACCTTGAATGCGCAAGCATTTGGTTTAACTGTGTTACATTGAAGCATGCTGTGATAAAAAGCGAACAACCGACTTGACGTCGTTTTAGTCCGAAAGTGTCTGACACTTTAATTCAGCCAAATACTATTCTAGAAAAGGCTGCATTAAGATATGTAAGCTGAGCTAGTTGATTGTTTGTTTCAAGAGCCTTTCTCGTGTACTTCAATCCGTCGTCCCATTCATGAGCGCAGACCTCGTGGTTAAAAGACCAAGTCTTGCATGTAGTGGGATAATCATAAGATGAACAGGGGAAGTGCCTCAGACGGGCTGGCCGACGTTTCAATAGGAGGACCTATCTTTTTCAAAGGCGCGATAGGTCCTCCTATCGAAACGTCAGCCAGTCTGAGGCACTTCACCTGTTCTTCTTATGATTATCCCACTACGTTGTTTCCATCTGTCCGCTCCCATCAAGATTTGGCAAGTCTTGCACGGTTACGCGACATTAAAGCCATGCTTTTAACCGTAACTTACCTTATCTATAGGCTTCATTAGGACAGGCCTCACTTGCGGCGGCTGCATTTCCGATGGAGGCGGAAATGTTGTAGGCCCGTCTGCTCAGATTTGGGCGCACGTTAAAGAACCCCAGGCGGTCGACATTTCCGGAGCCCTCCACTACGGCGTCTCTCATAACCATATGGTGGTTTTGGGACGTTAAACCCCACATATCAATCAAGGACAGGCCTCACTAATAAAACGTGACCTCAGTTTCAAGTAACTATTTGATATAAAAAGCCTTTGAATTTCATGCCCCTTCTTGCTTAGAGGTGATGGCTCGCGCGCTAAGGTTCACATTATACAGGCTCCGGTTGCGACAATCGGATTCACTCCACCCTTTCTAGACAATTCGACGCTATATGAACGACAAAGCCGGTGCTGGCTATGAGTCCCTAAAAAATTCAGGGGCTTCCACCATTTTCTTTCGCTTTATTTTAGGTGTACTGTCGAAGGAGCCCGGGACGACACGCCCCCCGCCCTCGATGCATGCCCTAATGCCTCGCAAGAACCAGGTAAGAGAAATTATTGCCCGACTCAAACCGCTGAAAAGCCTTTCGCGTGCAGATGTGGTGCAACGTTCAAACTACTCTATAACTTTAAGGAGGGGGGGGGGGGGGGTGGACAGGGCCGCTTCGCAAGTGGAATAAGGCACTAACGCACTACACGTCTATTAGTGCCAACAGCGGAGCTATAGTGACTGACCTTCCTCCCCCCCCCCCCCCCTCTTTTTTCCACTCACCGCATCATCACTATCAGACTCACTACTTGCTTTGCGGAGTGAAGGCTTCGCCCATGTTCCGCTAATCCACCCCGTCCTGAACAGCGGTTATTCTGCCTACGCGCTACGTGCCCTTCATATTTATCTTCATATTTAATTTATTTGACAACACCGCAGCCCATAAGAGGCCCAAGCAGAAGCGGCACATTCAAAGTAAAGAACATCGAAGTAAACAAAAGAAAGTGGCCTTACCAATTGATAACGCCGCTGGCAATCCATGTGTGTTTCACAGCTAAACCACGCAAGCGCCTTTCGTTCTGCGTTTTCTGCTACCGGTCCACTGCAGATTATTTCAGGATCATGTGTTGTGCTCGAGCCTGCGAACGCGAGCAGCTGGGTTTATTATCGCAGAAAACTTGCCCATCAGCGATAACGTTCCAATGTGCAAATGTCGCATGCGTATAAATGCCGACGCGTATTGCCGTATAGAGCAGTTTATCGACTGCCGACGCTCAGTTAGCTGTTTCACGGCCACAAGTTCATCCATATAGCTTTGTCCAGCCTACTGCTGCCCTATCTCATCGTTACGATCACGTGATAATAAAATACGAATAAGTAACCAAGACACAAAGATAACAGACAATTTTTTTCAGTGCCGCTTGAAAATTAGTCTCCTCAAAAATGAACTCTAAAGAACGTTCTAGCTGAAAATTGCTTGTGAGAAAAAAGGTGTGAAGAAACACAGATTTCAGTGAAAATTGGTTTAACCAGCCACGGTGGTCTAGTGGCTAAGGCACTCGGCTGCTAACCCGCAAGTTGCGACATCAAATCCCGGCTGTGGCGGCTGCGTTTCCGATGGAGGCGGAAATGTTGTAGGCCCATGTGCTCAGATTTGGGTGCACGTTAAAGAACCCCGGGTGGTCGAAATTTCCGGAGCCCTCCACTACGGCGTCTCTCATAATCAAATGGTGGTTTTGGGACGTTAAACCCCACATATCAATCAACCCCAGGTGGTAAAATTTAAAATTTTCCGGAGCCCTCCACTACAGCGTCTCTCGTAATCATATGGTGGTTGTGGAGCGTTCAATCCTCTATTACTATTGCGGAAATCAGTTTCAGAGCGCCCCTATTCTTGTCCAGTTTTCGTGGTGTCTGAAGGTTTTAAAAATTAAGGTGTCGGCATTTCTAATTCGGTGTTTAATATACTGCACAAGAACAATGTATGGGCACATTTCCGACGCATTGATGTGCGAGTTTCCTGTTTTTTAACAAGTTTGGTACTGTTGTCGCATCTTTCCTTTTGTTAAACTGCATCGAATTCGACAGCCTCTTTCCACCAATCGGACTTTTTTTCTGATCATGCTCAAAAAAAAAAAAGGACGCCTCTAAAGGTTCATGCATGCGCAATGGGTGCGCGCTTCAGCTTGACGCCATGAAGCTTCAGACAGCCCCATTGTACCAAGTCGCGGGGTTTAATATTACGGCTTGATGACGTCATCGCAACCTCGAAGTTTCTAATTTATGATGCGTCATTTAAAATGAGCTGCAATTTATGGATTCTTCCTTTTTTACTTGCTATGAGTGGTATTTTCGATGCTTTTGACGCTTTCCAACAGTTCATGACCGTAGTGCAAGAAGTGTTAAATAGGCACTAATTATCATATAGAGAAGTAGTAACGTATTATCGTTTCTCAATGTGCATATTATAGCTACAATGCCTCACGTGGCACTATTTATTGGCAATAAATATAGCACTTATCCACTATTTCAATAGGCGAGTTCAGAGTGTTATTTCCTTGATTGATGATTGATATGGGAGGCTTAACGTTCCGATACCACTATATGATTATGGGAGACGCTGTAGTGGAGGGATCCGGAAATTTCGACCACCTGGGGTTCTTTGACGTGCACCCAAATCTGAGCACACGGACCTACAATTCCGCCTCCATCGGAAATGCAGCCTTCACAGTCGGGATTCAATCCTGCTAACTGTGGTTCAGCAGCCGAGTACCTTAGCCGCTACACCATCGTGGCTGGGCACAATATTTTCTTGATTGTGTGTTATCACAAAACGAATTTGCTGCGTGAGATTTTGTACTACGTGTACACATTTCAAGGAGGAAGAAAGGAAGCAGGCAAAGGGAGAAGGCAGGGAGATTAACCAGAAAGACATCCGCTTGGCTACCCTGTACACTGATCAGGGAAGTGCACAAGAACGAATTAAGTATTCCCAGAACATCTTCCATGGCGCAGACTTCTGTCACACCTCGTTCGCTTTTTCCGTAATTATACCTGAATATTTTCTTAATTTTTTTTGTTTTCTGCTAACAATGAATCCACTTTTCCAGACGTCGGTGCAAGTCCTCAAGAAACCACACCTCTTCATGCACCACCAGAATCGTGAGTTACAGTATTTTCAGAATGTTACCATTCGGTGTTACAGCAGGAGTGTATCTCCTGAATTTATGTTCAGCCAGAACGGTACCGCAGTTTATTTTCGCATAGCGATTTTCACCTCAATTTTTAATAATTCTAGTTTAGAAGGGCAGAAATTGCAAATTTCAAGGCTCGTTTTTGTTTGTTACACACAATTTTAACTAACAGACAATGATGCCAAGTGAAGTATAGGGAATGTTTTAGAAGTATTTGTGTAGTGAAAGAGAAAAGCACTCGAAAAGGTAACTTGCCCCATAGAAGTGGCAAGTTATAGTTTTGGCAAAATAGTACATTGTTACCACTATTATTTTCTCTTCGTTCTCATTATTATGCCCCTGACACACGGGCACCCTGAAGTCCTTTACACAAGGGGACATCTTTCGGAAAGGCGTTTGAGCGCAGTGACACACGACAAAGGAGTAACTCCTTTCCGGCAAAGATCCTTTTCGCAAAAGCAGATCCCGCATCTACTTCTGGCAGGAAGGGAGTACTCTCACCTACAGTGTGCATAATTTATCAATAGAACAAAACGTGTCTCAACACTGCGGTGCCCTGTCAGTATTTTTTTGCGCTGCTTTCACTTCCAGCAGCAGTGCGATTTGTTGAAAAGTGAAGGCCTATAGTCTGTCCATACTCTCAAACGCCTGCATTACGTCACTAGCGCGATTATGTTAGGGTTGGCAGCGGCAGTTGCTGTGTCGGCGACGTAGTATCTTGTAACAATGGAGTCGACTCAGTCGGTGAAGAATAAACCGCACGTCCAGTTGACTGAAAAGGAGACCTGGGCGCTGATACAGCTATGGGAGGACCATTTGGATGCCTTGCGAGGGCAAAAGCACAACGGTGGAGTGTACCAGGCGATTGCTGCGAGCCTCACCGACGCCGGTATTCCGCGTACATGGGCGCAAGTTCACAGCGAAATTGACAACTTCAGATAAGACGGTCACTCACGCTACGCGTTGTCGCACGCGTCCCGCTTGCTTGTTTAGTGTGTGTTAAGATCGGGCCTGTAAAACCCGACATGCATGGGCACCTCGCATATCGAGGAACAAAAACAAACAGCAAAACACCGACTGTTCATAGTTGTCAGACGAACTTAAGTTGCTGCTAAAAACGCAAAAAAGCGAAAGAAAATTACAGGTGTGCGCATTATAAGCCACGAGACAATAAAAAAACGGTTTTATGCTCCGGCGTCGCTGAATGTGATGTACATGCGCAGATTCTTTTTAATATTTCCAATCTTGCTGCTTCCACAAACAGCGCCATTTTTTCTGCAGCGTTCTTCTGAGGCACCGCCTAAAGCAGTAGTCCGGTGCCGTGTGTCATCAGCGCCACTCCTTTCTGCAAATGGTCCCCTTGGGCGACAAAAGGGGTTTACTTCAAAGTACTTTACTTTTGCCCGTGTATCATGGGTATAGATTTGTTAAAGCAATGGCGTTCCAGACACCATAATCAGACTCGACGCCATTGTAAAGGCATTTGACTAAGGTACCTGTTTATTGACATGACTTCGGAATCGCTATCCCTTCAGTGCCGACCATTACCGCTCCTCATGCACTCGCGCTATTCTTCTTTCTTGCTTGCGTGATGCAGGCCGGAACGTGCAAAGAACCAACATTCCCGGTGACGGAAAGTTTCAAGCATGGTTCAATAGGGTAGTCTCTGTCTCAGCTTGATCGCAAGAAACGGATGTTTGCCAGTTCACCTTGCAAGAGCGAATGAGGCCATCGGCACTGTAGTACCCTTCTAAGACCCTTGCAAGTACCCTTGATAAGTGGCACGGCTTTTTGTCAGCAGGCACGAGTACGACGTCCCACTGTTCAATCTCCAAGAGGTATCTGGTGCCTCCCAAGCAGGCAGATCGTAATCGCAACAAGTATTAGTTGTACCGTTGCTTCCAATATTTTCTCCAGCACCTTTGCGTACCTGAACCTGCGCCTGACATCTGCTCGTTTCGAATTACTGGCGAGTTGACTGTGCTGTTGGCAAAGTTAAATACAGCTGTTATCAACGAGGAAAGTTTCCTTCGATCTATCTCAATGAAATTCAAACTGATCTCTGATACTTCTAGAAATGCAGATGAGCTTTTCGAATCAATATTTCGCAGGAAAAGATCTGCTGATTGTACTAGGTGATCCCATCATTCAGTCCAGAAAGAAGCTTTAGGCGCAAAAAAAAAAAAAAATTCGCGAAATGTCATTGATGCCACGGAAGCCAATAACTCTTGCTTCGGAAAGCATGCAATATATATGTTCGCCTTGTGTCTCCCATCAGACGCACCCTCTACTTTCCGCTACCTTGACTGCTTATTGTCTGGACAATATTCATAGCCCCCCCCCCCCCACCCCGATATGCTTCTTGAGCATTTGCGTCCTGTTCAGTGCAAGCCAGAGAGAATCCTTGTTTTTCACCACTTGTTGCCCTTAGATACGCAAACGTGCTCACTGACAAGGTATCATACTACTATGTTTCATGAGTCGCACAATGTTTTTATCTCTCAAATCATACCAACGGTGTGTACTTTGCGCATGATAAACATTTTGAAGCTGTTGTCGGATTCACCAACTCGTGGTGGTACGCGAGGACATCCGATTTTTCGCTTTCGCAGCCAAGTAACCCGGTGACCGGCATGCCCCTAGATTTATTGGTCTGTCTACAAACGAATCGAATCATTCGACAAGTCAGTCATTCTCTGCAAAAGGGGAACGTTCTCTGCCCATGGGGTGAACGTTCCTCACGAAAATCACGCATGCAAGATGAACCACAATTCTTGATCATGCAAGGGCGTGGAGCAATGTTCCAAGCCACAAAATAGATTGCAAGCGGCTTTTCAATAACAATTATTGTATTTTCAACCACGTTGCTACAAGCTTAAGGACCGTCGTAACGACGTTTTTGCCCGGGAGCATATGACGTTTTCATTCTCCTAGATACTTCCCACAATCATAGATGAAGCATTATTAATTGTAAGCTGGGCGAGTGGGTTGCTGTTCTCGTCTCGAACGTCTCTCTCGTGCACTATACTACTTGCATCCGTCGTCCCACCTATGAGCGCGACACGAAATTCATGGAGGTAGTATTCAGGTTTGCACGATTACGTGATTTCAAAGCAAAGCTTCCAGATGCGAAGCAGCATATGGCAGCGTTCAGTCCTGTGTGTGGCGTGACCACGCTTACTGCACATTTGGAACACCAAGAACTGCCAGAACGCGCTCCGGCCTGTGCAAGGGGCTGTGTAAGAGGCTATGGCCCCTCCCCCTTACTCTCTCACCAATCACGCTGATGACGTCGGGGAACGAGATTCTGCAGACGTGCGATGAAGTGCACGATCTCCCACATGGCACGCCGATGAAACCGCGTGGTGTTTTTCAAACAAGAGTTCGGAACAAGTAACAGCAAGATAAACTACAGTGAATTCATGCTGTGCCACCCTCGCAAGAACGCGCTAAATATTGGGCAAGATCCCTGCGATGAATGGAATGCTTAAGTGGGCCCATGCGCTGCTTCGAATACTAATCATGCTTACGTTTAGTGTGGGATGGTGTGATTTTTTTTTCTAAGTCCACTTCCCCTATATGTAAGCTTGTTTTTCTCCGCGTAATAGCTAAAATCAGCGACACTCTGGCTTTAGGTGAAATATAGCACAATTCCACAGAATTCTGTGCCACTTCAGAGTTCGCATTAGCTTGTGCAAGAGGACATACCTGGTGACATAGTCCCACTTATGCTGGTTCCGGTGTGGACAATATTCACTTAATAATTCATAGAGCAGCCTTTTTTGTGTGTGGCTGATCTGTGCCAAGTAATGTGTGGAAATTACGGATGTTAGCTAATCGGGTATTGGAGGACTAAGGGCATGAAATGCCTCCGTAACAAGTATAATCCGGTACGCCTAAAGCTAAACATTTGTCTTGACATTTCTTTTTTGCTCTATCTTAGGTGCACTGTTCAACAAGGCCCACACCAAACGCCATCCGTCTTCTATGCATACGCCAGTGCCTCGCAAATCCCAGGTAAGTTATAAAGGCGAAGCTGAAGGGTCTCCCGATTTTTGAGAGTTGAACGTGGTAGCAATTTTCTTTCCCAATAGTGCGTACCTAATTCGAAATGACTTGTGTGAGTGAAGCTTTCGCATGCGGTTGGATTCTGTGTAATGGGTAGTATGCTTTAAACCACAGAAATAATGCGCGTGAAACTTTGTTAAAACTAAGTAGGCACCCACTACGTTACCGTAAGAAAAAAGACGCAGTAGCATGTGCGGCATTTTTTTTTATTGGGTGGCCCATTTTAAACCATCAAGTCGTGATAGTCACATGCTCCAACACCCGATCCAAGTTTGCACTCGCAATTTTTTAAGAGTGAACACGAGAGCGCGTGGATGGATGGATGGATGGATGGATGGATGGATGGATGGATGGATGGATGGATGGATCCGGCTGTGCCCTTTAAATCGGGCGGTAGCTGACGCCACCTAGCTGTAAAGCAAAGTACTATCACTATGTGTTGAAGGATTGAATTTCACTCGCGCCTCGATTGTAGCCACCAGTCAATTAACCTCCTCCTGGTTATTTTTACCCTCTTAAAGTCTATTTTGCCTTCGCTGTCACTACACCTGAATGCTTTGAAAAATTCGGCGCCATTATTTTCGCCCATAGGGTAGAGCCCTTTACAGAACATTATTAAATGTTCAGCCGTTTTTTCCTCCTCTTCACACGCACTACATACCCTGTCTGTGCCTTCGTATTTTGCTCGGTACGTCTTGGTCCGCAATACTCCCGTTCTAGCCTCGAAGAGCACAGAACTACCCCAAGAATTATCGGCGATCTTTTCCCTTGCAATTTCCTGCTTAAAAGTTCAGTAGGGCTCAAGTGTTTCCGTCATCATTCCAATCTTCATTGATTCCCTCTCTGTCTCCTTCACCTTCTTTTTATCCAATGTTTCCTTTTGGCTAGGTATTGTGCTGTTGTCCAAATACTTGCTTGAAAATTTTAGAGTTCGCTTCCTCTATTTAGTACCAACGTTCTTCATGCACACGTAGCTGAAACCTTTCCTAGCCCAACGCTCCTCTAGCATTTTCTCTCAATCGCTCCTCAAATTCTATCTTGCTGCTAGCTTCCCTTGCATTTAAACGATGTCCATCCCACGTCTCCCTGTACCCCCTGATTCGGGTATTCCCGTGTTCTCCCAAAGCAAGTCTACGTATGCCGCGTTGTTTAATTTCCTATCTTGCTTGAACTTCCTGATTTCGAGGCTACCAGCGCTGTCAAGCGGCGGCAGCCGGAAGCATCGCTAATGCGCAGTGCGGCCCGGTTGCGAGAACTCCACAGTCGAGCCAGCGCGTGTAGTCTGCTGCACGCGCACGCCAGCAGTGAATCCGTGTGCTTCAACGTGGCAAGAGCGTTGAACTTGCAATGATACTCTCCGCGATTCACGACTGAACTTCGAAGCATGTCATCTTTTCAAGACAATTGTTGATTTGTCGTTGGGGGCTTTCTCTGGTGCACAATTTTTGTTCCAACGTCTTCACTGCAACAGTTATCATCAACGAGCACACCGAAAATCGGCAGAACCGCGTCGCCCTTCTGGCAAGCATGAGCATTTGGGAAAATAAGTGGCAATACTTGAAAGGGAGCTATGGTGCGACACCATGTTTACGCGCCGACTGCGGAAAAATTCAAGGTTGGCACTCGATTGGCAGAACCTTCGAGTGCATAATTACTTTGGGCAAGCACTGTCCTCTTCAGTACCTTCCAGAATGGCAGCAGTGCTTTTTGCTTTTCAAAGCAGGACATGACAAAACACTAATGTAACATCGAGCAAAGCTATTCCATATTACTGATACAATTTCATTAAACTATAATCAGTATTTCGTGGAACGCCGTAAAAAATAGGTGTGGGTGTTCTTGTTCTTTTGCCTGATCGTTGTATACGTGACTGCAAGTACACAGGAAAAAGAAAAAAAATACAGCATACCCACGGAGTGAATGATCAGTAGGGCAAAGCGTCCAATCCGTCTATCTGCGAGCCTGTCCCTGCTTCCGCCTGTCTGTCCACCTGCTCAGTGAGTCATAGATCTAGGCGGCCGCGTACCAAGGGAGACATGCATGTACAAACCCACGGCTTGAGGAACTTCGCCCCTAAAAAAAAACGAAACCAGTCGACACGGCAAGGCATAAGTAGCCCGCCGTTTGAACTGACGGCATCCAAATTTTAGTTGTCATCATAGTACGACCACCAAGGCTGCCGAAAATCTGCTAGCAGACGCCACACGAGTACTGCGGTGACGTGATTCGCGGGAAAGCTAACCACCTCGCGCGCATGTACTGTGACTTGTCACCTAACGTTGCTACTATAGCACCGAAAGCCACGCCCTCCTGTGTTCACTCTCTAAAATATTGTGACTGTGTTCTTCTACCACACATTAGTGCGGTATTACATGTTGCCGTGTGAAGCATGTATACACGACACGTGTTTGTAAAGCACACAGTTGCTTTAACTGCATTCTCAAGCAGGTAGTTATTTTAATAGCATTGTGACCATCACTCAGAGCCAGAATTTATTACTAATTTTATGTGCATCTTTCTTAGTTATTCTGTCACGCCCAAGATCATTTTTCGCACACAAGCAACGACGCCTATACGCGAGTACCACAATTTCCGCAAAACTATCTTCTTGACGCTATCGCATTCTGAAATGGGGCAGCTATAGGTTGAACAGTTGTCAACTGCTACGAATCATCTCGGCTAACTGACGTGAAATCACTTTAGCGTGAGCTAATATTCACATTACAGCGAGAGCCTTAAATATGCCGCATTGAACCAGAAAAGGGACCATCGACGGGGGTGTTGGTGTGAACACTAATGGTGGAAAAGCTTACCCGTGTTCGAACCAATGTGAAGTCTGCAGAAGCAGTGAATCTGCTGTTCTGTTTCACTTGTGATTTCGAATGATGTTTTCTGATTTTGTATGGGTGTCTGATTACGTTCAGCGTGGAGTAGACGCATGGTAAAAAAACATCTGGTAACTCCTACAGTAACACCTCATGCAGTTTCCTTAGACTATGTTCACACTCATGTCACCATTCCCCCTTTGAAATCTTACCCAATAATTAGGGTGTACCTGGGAGCCCCAGCACGGGCGCCCGACGATCGTCAAGGCCAATCTTTCAACAGCCGCGCTGTTCAAAGTCGCGAGGTTAAAGATTACGACCTCATGACATCGCATATTTGATATTTCATGACATGACATTTAAAATTAGCTGTAGTCTATGCACTGCCCCTTTATTTGCTTGCTATATGCGTGCCATTTTAGATGTCTCCAGGGCTTTAATAACTGCTTGAAAGCTAGTGCAATAAGTGCTAAGTAGGTACTAATTATTAAATTACGAAGTAGTAACTTTTTTGATTTGTTAGTTTGCATAATCCAACTACCACGTCCCACGTGCATCAATATATTTGACGTAATTGTAGTATGTATTTGATACGGCAATCCAGTTAGTTCACGTTATTTTTATTATTGTGTATTATCGCAAACTGACAGTGCTGTCAAATTTCGTACTATGTGTACGCATTTAAATACTGCCAAAAAATTTTCGATGGCATAGATCCCTCTGTTAGGCCTCGTGGCCTTTTCCGTAAAGTTGCAAAAAAAAGCATTTTAAGTATTTTTCTTTCTTTCCTTTTAACAAAGAATCCACTTTTCTAGGTCTTGGTGCAAGCCCTCAATACGTCGTACCTGTTTATGCACCAGCGGAATCGTGAGTTACAATTTATATTTTCGCTCTATCCTTTCGCTATATCTTATCACTCCTTGTTATAGCGGAAGTGTTATCTCCTGAATTCGGGTTCAGCCTGAACGTTATTACAACTTGCTTATGTTGAGACAGCACCTCTCATGCTAAATTTCGCTCCTCTAGCTTCGAACGCTGGAAAGAAGTGCAAATTTAAGGCCTCCTTTCACTTGGTTAGACACAATACTGAGAACTCGCAGACAATAGAGAACAAGGTTGAGTGGAAAACAAGGAGATACACTAGAAGAAAAATTCTGGCTTGCTACCCTGCTCTGGGCAAAGGGAAATGGGTATGAAAAGTAAGGGGAGAAAAGCGAAGCGGAGTGGTTGAAAAAACGATGCCAAAAAAGAATAGATGTTCCGTCTGTCTGTCCGTCCATCCGCACCTGCTAAGTCAGTCGTAGAACTATGTTGTCACGTACCAAAACCAGACACGATGACCAGACCCATGGCTTTAGGAGCTTCGCCCCTACAACAAAGCGAGAACAAGACAATGCCCAAGAGCGGCTGGTCGAAAAATGTTCACAGGCAGGTGCACGTCTGCAGGGCGAAAGGCCGATGGGGATGTGCTGTAGCTCTGGTCGACAGCAGTTGGAGCCGCGGGGTGGGCGAGGATGGTGGGAAACGGACGCTGCGGGTAGACACGATGGTTGTCGGCCGTCTGGGTCGTGTGCCCCCGACGTATAGGCGTGGGGATCTGCGAAGACGTGTCACCAACTGACGTGTTGTGCGGCGTTACGTGCTGCTGCCATGAGCGCACAGGTCAACGAGTACTGGAGCGTACCGTGACGTCCACATGACTCGTACCGTCGGTGGTGGGCTGTAGCACGAGTGGTGCGGTGGCGTTGAATATGCACCAACGACGATGCTGGCGTTGCGAACGACGTCGTCGGCAACGGTACATTTATCTGCCTGGTTACACCACCTTCTTGCGAATTTGATATTGCAAGCACTAATGATGCCGTCGGCAGTGTGGTACACGTGCGGGCTTCCATGGCGGGCACGGCGCGTTGTCAGCCCTCGCAAGCACGACAGTGCGTTGTTTCGTTGCTTTGGTTGATCTGGGGGCGAGCAAGTGAGCAGATCACAGTTATAACAGGCATTCTTTTTTTCCGTCCCTTCAAAGATGTTTTTTTTTTCAGTAGCTTTTTTGTAGGGTAGCCTGCACATGGCATCTGCTCGTTTAGAATTAGAGCTGACTGTATCCACTGTCAACGTTCGCGTAAACCGAAGTTCAGCTGTTGTTAATGGGGAAGGTTCTCTTGCATCTGTCTCAATAAAACTCTGGGATAGTTACGACTTCGACGATTTCGGCAAGTACTGTTGAGACTTCGTCGAAGTGCAGATGAGCTTTTCCAATGACCATTTCATGGTCGAACGAGCTGCTCCTGCCATTCCTCCCAGAAAAAAGCATTCAGCCTTCGCTTCGGAGAGCACTCGGCGCCTTCTCCTCGTGTTTCCTGTCACATTCAGCCTACAATCGAAGCTGCGCTGAGTTTTAGAGACAAAGTTCTCTCCGAAATGATTCCTCGCCTGTTTCCACCTTGGTAATCATCCTTGTCAGTTATCGTGTCACCACGAGATGCGCGTGCATGCCCACTTACAAACCATTCTACGTTTTCGTGGGTCTTCCAAAGTATTTTATCTTAAAAGTTAAGACTAAATTTGCTTTGTGGGTAGTAGCTTTTGCACCTTCTCTGACTCACTTGTGAACTGTTTTTTGCTGTACCGGCGAAGCTATCGGGTCACCGGAATGCCTGGATTTCACCGCCTTTATCGACAGACGCCAAATAAACCGTTCCACAACCGTTGAAAACAGCATATTTTATACAGCGAAACCGCTAAGGTCAACGTTCATCACTAAATTAACTCATGCCAAATACGTGGGAATGATAAAACGAGGAAAGGGGTGGCGCTAGGCTTCAAGCCACAACAGATGACGAGTGGCTTTTGAATCAGAATCATTTTTTGTTTTTTTTTTTCAAGTCCTTTGCGGCAAGCTAAAGGACCGATGCGACGACGTGTTTAGTGCAAAAGCATCTGTTCTTTGTGTTGTGGTGAAATAAAACGCCAAAGTTGAAGCGTTCATATTCTAAGCTGGGCGAGTGGACTGCATGGTGTTCCTCCGTAGAGCGCTTTTCTCGTGTACTACTTTCATCCGTCGTCCTACTCATAGCGCTGCACGGAATTTACGATGAAAATGATTAGCCTTGCACAATTACCCGACTTCAGTTTTTCCACGTAAGTTGCTTTATACAAAGGTTTTTTTTTTCGGTCAGCGTAATGACCAATAAAAGGGGGAACCCAGCTCTAAGTGAAAATATATTACGAAGTTTTTTCAATAATTCCTTGCCACTTGGCAGTTCGCGCGGGCTTTCGTTAAAGGACATCGCCCCAAAATCCGCATCATGCAGGTTCAGGTTGGGGCAAGATTCGCTTCACCGTTTCGAGAGCGGCCTTGTTTTGTGGTCGATCTGTCCTGCGCAAAGTGCAGAAATTCCGGGCATACGCTAATCAAGGAACTTGCTGGAAACCAAAGGGCTTATAACGTGTCTTTAACAATAAAGACATGCTCCGGTATTTCTGAAAACATGTTCGCCTTTAACACTTTTTCTTCGCTCTACTTCAGGTGCACTGTTCAAGAAGCTCGGAACGAAACGCCACCCGTCTTTCAAGCGTACCCTAATGCCTCGGGAAACCCAAGTAAGTTAAACTATGGAGTAGCTATAAGCTATAATATTATGAGCTGCTACGATTACCTTCAGCTAAATTCCAAATTCACTTCGGCAATGGCATCAAATCCTTTTACCCCGAGCTGAATTTACATTAAAGCGCAAGTCTTCGAAACGTGCGCCTCATCGAACTAGAAAAGTGACCGTCGGTGGTGGTGGTAGCGTGAACACGAATGGTGCAAAAGCTTATCACGGTAAGAATCGGTGTGAAGTGTGCAGAAACAGCAGATCAGCAGTTCTCTTCTTTCCCTTGCTATTTCAAGTGATGTTTTGCGATTTTGTTTGTTACGTTCTACGTGGAGTGGACGCGTGGTAAAAACACGAGACGACTCCTTTCTCGGCCATGCTTCGCACAGTGTACTTACGCTCCATTCACACATCAGTAGTCATTCCTTCTTCAAATCTTGCTTGGTTCATAAGGTATCTGGAAGCCGAAGCGTAATAACGCGGGTGCTCAGCCGGCATCAGGACCAGCCTTTCAGCCGTTCCGCTGTTCAAATCAAAGTCGCGAGGTTAAGGATTGCGCCTTGATGACGTCATCATTACATCACATATTTCGTAATTTATGACAGAACCTTAAAGTGAGCTGTAATATATGCAGTCCTCTTTGTTTTGCTTCCTCTGTGGCATTTTCGTTGTCTTTATGCTTTCCTCAGCCTAAAACAACTAGTGCAATAAGTCCTAAGTAGGTACTAATTATTATATTGAAAAGTGGTACCTTTTGTCAGTGTGTGTAATTCAACTACCATGTGACACCATATATTTGAAGTGATTATAGCATCTATACATTTTTGCAATCAGTAAGGTAACTGATATTTTTTTTGTACATTACCGCAACATTGCTGTGACCAATTGTGTACTATGTGTACGCATTTCAACACTGCCAAAATATCTTCAATTGTGCAGATCCCTTTGTTAGACCTCGTTCTCTTTTCCATAAAGCTAGAGAACAAATATTTTTTAAAGTTTTTACTTTAGTAGTAGTAGTAGTACTTTTTATTTACAGTAAGCCGGATACAGAGCTCACTGCAGGGGCAAAGGGTTAAAGGCGAACAGCCTGACAAAGGCCCTTGTCCCTCCGCAGTCCGTGACAGTGCAAATCTTAGACATCAGCACTGGCAAACAACATATATATTCAGTACATTGGTTTCAAGCAACCTGCAATTGTACACACAAAATTCAAACATAAATAGCATAAGAAGTTTACTTAACACATTTTAAGAATTAGAGGTCACTCTCGTAAAAATTCACAACTAAACGATATCAATGAAACAACTCAAAAACAGACACAAAATGCATGCGGATACAATGAATTGCGCTGTATACACTCGTATAATTGACATAGAAGTTTACGAACAATTTAAGCGTTTGCAGAGGCATGAGACTCCATTACGTAGTTTCGATAGTGTTGACCGGTGGTTATGAATAAGTTCTTTATTTGTTTCTTGAAAGTCGCACTACTAGCCCTAAAGTTCAATTGATCTGCAAGGGTATTTAAAACCTGAGGTACCTGGTAAGCAATACTTTGTTTTCCATACTTGGTTCTTGTTCTAGGAGCTTGTTTCTTTTGTTTTGTTACTTTCTCTCCTTGTAATAAAGAACCCTCTTTTCAAGATCTTGGTGCAAGTCCTCAAAACGCCTTATGCATTCCTGCACCAATGAATGGGTGAGTGTTACATTTGATATTTTCAGTATTTCGTTTCTAAGTTTTTTGCTGGAGTATTATCTCAGCCTGTATAGTTCTAGACGGCAGTCCTTTTTTGTGCATCAAAATTAGAAGGGTTACACGAAGTGTGCTACATTCGAGGGCTTCTTTTACAGCGAAAGCTGTATATGGCTAGAAAAAAAAACGAAAAACCGTTCGACAGCGATTTCATGAGCAGTTTACATTGGCTCTGCTAACAGTTACGTCGTTCGCAGCATCGTACTCAAGCACGCTCGTCATTTTGTGTTGAGTTACATATGCGTCGCCGCGCGTCGGCGCGTCTTTTTGATGCGGCGTCGAGCCCTCTCTCATAGAGAGAGAGTGAGCCAGTGCGCGGCTTCGCGTAGCCACGCGCCATTCCCTCTTTAGGGGAGGGGGTGCGGCGCCGCGTCAAACAGCCTCGCGCCACGCCTCGCGCTGACGCGCTGCGACGAACACGTGAAGTCAGGCCTTTAGCTCGCGATGTCAAGCGCTTGCAACAACGTGGCGTTGCGGCGTCAATGCGACGATTGCGGCAGCGCGTTCGCCGGGGCGAGCACCCACTTTGGCTTCGAAGTGGGTGCTCGCCCCGCGGGATTTGGTGGGATTTGGCTTCGACGGCGATGTCTGTGACTACCTGTGGTTCGGGGACAACCATAGCGATTAACGCATTGCAAAACGCATTTAACCCCTCATTACTCTATCATCACCATGATCAAGCGAGGCACAATGTGCGGCATGCGGAATGAACACTGCGCTAAGCCCAATCCAAATGTGCATCTGACCTCATTAAGAACCATGAACATGTAAGCAATAATTGTGAAAGGATTCAGTGCAACGTGCGGTTGAACCCACTACCCAACAACGGGGCAGAACGCTTCAGCTTTCGCTGGTTAACCGCTTGTACTGAGTGCTTGGGCAGTGATTTCTTTCTTTGTTAGTTATCATTAATATTGTGTAACAATGATGACGAGGGAAGTATAGGGGATGTTTTTGGAAGTAACTGTAATGTAAATGGTATAGCTACACCTTAGAGAAAATGCTGCTTGATTTTTTTTTACTTCCCTTACTTTGCGAAGGCAAGGTGTGGTTGCCAAAAATAGCTTGATTCGTGTTCTAAGGCTAGAACCGAATTACCAACAAAACTATACGCAAGGACTAATTGTTAAAGGGTAGTTCGATTAGTTGGTTTTCATTGAAAAGGTCTTGCATTTGGGCTAGTTGATCTTGTGTGCCGAGTGGTTTCAGTTAAATTTAAACTTATGCACAATGTAAAGAAAGGCTAGGACAGTGCTGACATTGTCTTCACTGACGTTTTATGGAATGTTTTCGCAGAATTTTTAACTGTAGGTTGCCGCACCTGTGTATTTTGCTGAGGGTTTCGAGAAAACGCCAGGTGCAGGTGTTAGCACTGCCCTCATGCTTCTTTCCTTCGTGCGCACGTTTAAACTCTAACCACTCGACATCTCACTTTTCAACTCGTGCAGTTACAAAATTGTCATTCTTGTCCTGATCGGGTATCTGATGATCATCAGGTTTTGATGATCAGAACGCTTGCCGTTTGGGAGATTTGGTGCGTGGTTCTACGAGTATTTTCTTAACCGGTCGTGCAATAATTCTTGAACTTTGAAGTTTTAAAAGTGCGTATTGTGGGTTGATATGCACGAGCAAAATTCACGTGCAACCCCCCCCCCCCCTCCTGAACGAATGAACAATTTTTTTCTCAGCGCCTGCTTTACTCGTATGCAAAACAACTGTATCAGTAATTGAATGCCAACTGATTATAGGATGTGATCGCGGCGTGAGACAAATGAAATGTGAATTACACCATGTTTTGTTACAGAAGACTTTCTAGCACATCAAATGTGAATTGGCAGCGAATCAAGTTTGTGAATAACGTGGATTAACGCCTCGGTGACAAATTGTTGGTGTGTTGGTTCAGTGGCAAATACAAGAAATTTTTCCCCAGCCGGTTACAATGCGATCAACCGGCGATATCAAATTACGTTTCGTGTTTAGTGAAAGCATGGCCGGTTAACTCAGGTTTTCTTTTTTAGCCCACACAAAGGGTGCAATGGAACGCGGTGAGAGAAGTTTGTACATCCTCGTGTCTTTTATGGGCTAAAAAAGTGAACATGCAGACCAACTCGCTTCATACAGCACGCTGACGCCAGAGCTTACACGATCATGGCCGACGTCTACGTTGGGTCCCCCGCCCCTATGAATGAGAGAGGGACACGGTTTTTCCAAAATGATAGCAAGATCTCTGAACTTACAATTAGCATCGGTAACATGCATTATCTGTTGGAGCCGACAGATGGAAACACGTCGCGAGATAAAGTACGATGAACAGTGCAAATGCCTTTGAACTACGCGGCATTTCGATGGGAGGACCTATCTTATTATCCTACCTACCTTACTTTGTCAACGTGATATGAAGCGAGGGCTCTTCTGCTGTAGCTTTTTTTTTTTTGGAGACGGCAATTACCAACAGAGACAAATGCCACCACAGGAGATGACGTCGATGCTAACACGCCAAGAGTGACAAGACGTCCTTGACAAAGGCAGGTCCTGTTATCGACACGTCAGCCATGCTGTCTGAGGCGCCTGCACTGTTTGTCCAGCCTTTTCCACCATAAATTACCAGCATGAACCGCGCGCGCCTGTAGCATGTATTAAATGTGAAGCATTTCTGAGCGAACTTCGGCGACTTTGAGCGCATCTATCTACCTATCTAGCTGCCTACGACTTTTAGCTGTCCTACCCGTTTGGATAATGGTATCAATACCAAACTTGAAATGGCATAACGTGACTGTATGAAGAAGATATTTGACTAGTCATAACATGAAAATCATGAGGTATGTCATGAATGTCATGATTTACATTTCATGGTCCTGCACCTCTTGCGATGGTTTCACACGGCATGTTGCAAATCTGGTATGGTATGACATGATTGCATGGTGAACACAAGTGAAAGACCCTAACGTGAAAATCATGACATGCGTGTCATGCAACATGACTACATGCTACGCTCATGATGCACTGGTTGCCGTTTCGCTAGCTTCACTTATACCAAATTTGGTATTACTTGGCGATAATGGATGACGAAGGTATGTGACTGGAGCAAACATGATAATCATGAGATGCGTGTTCATGTGAGAACATGACTACATGCCACAGTCAAGGTGCCAATACATTTTGACGTGACACTGTGCGCGTGCTCGCCGGCGTTCATTTCGTCGCGTCACGCCGGCGTTGCCACGTCAGGCGTCGGTCTTGTCATACATTCGCAGGCTCGCGCCGCGCTGCGTTGCTTCGACGCATGCGAGTTTCAGCTCGTCCGACGTCCCTCCGTCAGGAAAAAGGAGGGAGACGCAGTGTTGTCTGGGCAACGCATCACGCTGCATTTCGCGCCGGTTGCCGTCGGGCCGCGCCGACGGACGCTGGTCGCGTCTGGCGTCAAACTATAGAGCGCTCGCGTTTTGCTAACATAGCGTCGCTGTGCCCAGTGTGCGTGCGCGTCAATGCTACATTGGACTATAAGGGTCCCTTCATGATGCGCACGCGGCCGTTTTGCTGGCTCCACATATACCGAATTTGGGGTTACGCGACGTCAACTAATAATATGACTGGTGCAAACATAATCCTGACACGCGTGTCATGTAAGAACATGACAACATACCACGCTCATAGCATGCTCGCAGCTGTTTCGCTAGCTCCACATACACTAAATTTGGTATTACGTGATGTGAACAGATCACGAAGGTAAACGACACATCCGAAACATAAGCATGACACGAAAGTCATGTACTGGCATCATTTATCTCCACCTCGTAACGTTGCGCTGATTTTAGTCAGCATCAACATTTCTCATTCGTGCTTCGCATATCGATTCCCACTGTACGTGGGCTCTGCCATTTTTTTTTTATCTAAATGTGAGTTATAGGTCTAATATAGCAGTGTCGACTAGGTTCTCTGAGAGGGGATAATATTGTTTTAGTGCGAAAACCGCAGCTCAGTATTGTATTCGCCTTTGCCTACCAAATTTATTTACCAGAAACGGCTATTGTCTCACACTTTCAGGAACGCCCAGATACACCCGAACGCATTCATGTGCGGATTGTGCCAGGAGGTGTTTTGGAGTCTGCCGACATACTACGCTCGGCATTCCTGCTCCTGGCGGCCGAAGTCGATGTTCAAGTGTCTGCGCTGTGGTTGGTATTTCAACAAGCTCGAGAACTTAAATATTCACGAAGAGCAGTACTGCCGCCATCTGTTGTTCGTTCCCGCACCCCAACCAATAACGCGGTTCCCGTCGCCATACCCGCCCGCACCCCGTCCAATAACGCGGTTCCCGTCGCCATACCCGCCCTGGAATTGAGTCTACCTTGCGTGATTGCTCTCGGGACAACAATTCTGTGCCCCCAAATTTTTCTTCAGCTGTTGCCATTTTGTCGGTGCAAGCCCGAGAGAGTCTTCATTTTTTTTCACCACGTGTCACCACGTGATGCGCACACATTCTCACTTAAAAAGTACCAAACCATTACACATTTTTCATGAGGCCGTTCACATACTTTTATCTTTGAAGTTATCTCAACGCAGTGTGCTTTGTGGATAATAAACATTTTGACCCTCTTGTCGGACTCGCCAACTCATTGTGGTTTTCTATAAAATCGGTTTTTGTTTTCCTTTCCCGGCAAAGCTACCCGGTGACCAGCATCCCTTCGTCCGGTCGACAGAAGCAAACCGTCCCAGAAAAAGCTTAATATGGCGTTCTCTGCGTGGAGAATCCCATCTCGTAAAGGTTCCTTATTTAAATTACGTATTCAAAAAGACGCCACAATACTTGGGCAAGAAAAATCGCGCGACAAGGTTCCAAGCCGTACGGCTGTGGCTTTCCAATAATCTAAAGCACGTACTGCTTACCATTGAGCGCTGACCATGCATGACCTGCAGTGGCCGAGAAATGGCAGCTATAGCGTACGAAGCTGGGATTGACGCTGGCACATCTGTCTGTAAAAGAACGAGATCTAGAGCTGATTGCACTACTCTTTATCGCGTCTCGCGAAGAATACGGATGAGCCGAGCTACACTGAACATCCAAGGGCGATGATGCAGCGCATAGATTTGCCTGTCAATCGTTGCAAGTATAACGCATAGCTCACTTGTATAGAAGTATGCGTCACGTTAATCTGTCGCATCGAGTGAAGCCGCAGCTTCGCTGGGGAGACAGTTCAACGTGGGTTCGTATCGGCTTTTACCGAGCGCGAGCTTTTTTAGGTAAGTCATCCAGGAAATCTGTTCGGCGATCCGTCCGTGACGCTGAACGTGGTAGTTTTAAGACTTTTGTATTGGGCGAGTTGGTGAACCTTCCGAAAAGGTAACTGCGCGAACTAATGACCACACACAGCCGACAAAGGGGCATGACGTACCTTCCGTCAAGAGAGGACGATGCTTTTCTCTGGGTTCGGCCTGTGTGGTCGCGTGTCTGCGTAGTTCATGCCTTTCAACGGGGACAGCGTTAAATAGCTCCTTCCGCAGATATGTCGGCGTCGTTACTTGCGAGCGAAATAGCATCTTGATCGTGATCGAGAAACATGCAACTAAAAAATTAGAAAAAAATTCCGAGTCAAATTGGTGATCCGACCCGGTGGGCTCTAGCACACAACCACGCATATACTGTAGCATACAGTGAAAACAACTTCCTCGGCTTGGAAATGCAGTGAAAGTAACTGCAATGCTTTACAAGCACACGCGTCCTGTCTATACATGCTTCACAATACAACATGAAATATTGCAGTAATCATGCGTTGTATACAAAGGTACATTGCCGTCAGGCGTCAGGACATGTGATTATCACGTTGGCTTCATTATAGAAAGCCGCACACCCATTACAAAAAGCAAACACGTTAGGGCACCTATTTCTTTAAGGTCACTTCGAAAAGATTTCATGCATCAAATGTCTGAAGTACGCTCCAGGGACAGGATATGGCTGTCGCGTTCGACTTCTAAAAGTGAAGCTTAAGGATCGCCGAACTTTCGGGAACGTCATGTACACCGAAAAGGGCAGTGTTCTCGGCGATTAATACGCGAAGGCTCGACCCCCAAAAATGACAGAGACTTGGTGACTCGACGATTTGCGAAGTAATATGCGTGAGACCTCGTTCGAAACTCGTGCGTTAAAAGCAAATACAAGCCCGAACAACTCAAGAGACAGTGGGATTGGGCGTGTTGGTATAACATCATAAAGGGTGCTTACCAGCGCAAACGACAGGGCAGGAGGGGACAGGAGAAGAGACGAGACAGAGCGCTGACTCGTCTCGCAGCGCTGTCTCGTCTCTTCTCCTGTCCCCTCCTGCCCTGTCGTTTGCGCTGGTAAGCACCCGTTAAGCCCAAACAACTACCTTTCGCCCAAACCCACAATGCTATCGTAGCATGCTATTCCTGAAATCATAAGTTTGGTACGCAAACAATTACAAAAGACGGGTAACCTATGCTCGGTTCTGTCACTTCAATGCAGCAAGAGTCGTTCCAGTACTGACAACAATCATCTTCTTTAAACAACGGTGGATGAGCGAGAACGGCGATTCGTGGGTACTTTTCGCATGAATTACCGCGTAGCCCAGTACGTGCATGGGGTACCAGTTAGATGTAATGCCTGGATCACTTGAAATAACGCATGGAGTAGCCGTGAGGGACATACTTCCATAGGTGCTCCTTATTCAAACGACGCCTTATTCAAACGACGTGTTTGTTTTACCGAATGATTTTACCTGCGCGTTCTTACTGTCGTGTGATATCCCCTAACACCTTTCCTAGATGGCAAAGAATGTTTTTGTATAACATGCGTACCCGTCCGCTTCTTTATATCACCCGGATACAACATTAGTAAAAGCAGGTGGTTGCACACATAGATTCCAGATATACACTAGAGGGAACTCTGGTGCTAGTGTCCATGGGAGCTGCAACGCACGGCCCTTCAGCGAGCATGGGAATGATGGGTGGTACACACATTTGTCTAATTTTCGTACTTATGGCCTGCTTCTGGCTCCGTGCGTGTTCGTGTGGCTTAGAGCTGTTTTTTCACGAAAACACAAATTAGCAACTGTTCACCGTTTGCGCTTCACAACCTTATTCTTTTAGGCTAACCATGTCGAATCAAGTCACTAAGTTAAAAAGGGTTCATTCTATCTTTCAAAACTAAACCGTAACCAGCAATAAACGAAGCCGCAAGTATGATTCGCCGCCCGCAAGTACGAAGACTAGGCAAATGTGTGTACTACCCATCATTCCCATGCTCGCTGAATGATCGCAGCGCCAGAGTCCCCTCTAGTTAATTATAGGGAAACTCTATGGTTGCACATATACTCCGTCTGCAATGGGAAAGCGACTTGAGTGTTCATTGAAAATTGGAAAGCAACTTCGGTTCCCTACTCATGCTGGCCGCTATTTTCACCTGCAACATTGCGGTGTGAAAGCCAGACATACGCTCACGTCTGACACCGTCATGCGCAGAAACGCGTGCGAAGTTAGGCAGCCGACGAAGTCGGTCGTTGTCGTCTGCGTTTTAGAAGGTCCCGAAGCCAACACTGGAAGTTGAAAATACGACTGCATCATTAGGTAGTCTTTAGTTTCGCGCGCGCAATGGCCTAGCGCACGCATCGGATTGCTTCGGGAGCGTCCGATGTGAACGGACGTGTTTCGAGCGCGCTCCGACGATATCGACACTTGGCCGGCGCTTCGCTGTCAAGCCATCGCCGCAGCTGTTGCTGCGCTAGCTGCTTGCTCGCTCGTTATCTACCGGCTGCAGCTGATACTGGGAGGCTGCCTTCTGAGCTCGTCGGCGGCACCGCCGCCCGGCTAGCTGCCGGCGGCCATTGCCGCTAGTATCACCCGCCGGGTTTCGAGCTTTCATGGCCTCTCCAGAGTCCTGCGTGCTCCCAGCCGACGTGCCGCTGCCTGAGGATATGGACCTACAGACTTCAGACGACCTGACTGCCTCGGTGACATCGCCGACTTCAACGAACAATTCGGCTGCCGATACCATGCCTTCACGGGTGCTGCTCCTGCCGGACACCAACCCATTCGCCCCACTCCGGGAGCTCGAGGAACAGAATAGCATTGAAGGCAAGTCTGAAAATACTTTTCATCAAGCTCGCATAATTTCTACCGCACCGAACGGAGAGAAACGTGCGCGAGGCTCGCTCATACCGACGCCCGAACGACAGCACACTAGCATACCCAGGGATCACTCCCACATGAGAAGTGCACGTCACACGCTCCTTGCTTCCGCTAGTTACCAAAACGAAGAGGATGGTTGGATACCAGTCAGCTATCGCCGAAAGCAGCAGAACCATGCGGCGGTCGCGGTGACGCCGAGCTCAGGTGCCCCGCGCGCTTATCAGCACACCGTCATTCTTCGGCCTAAGCAACCATGCCGCATCATGGATGAGCAATTCATACGACTAGATAGAGTAATAACTCGCCGCATTTCGGCTCATCTCAACATCCCTGAGGAAGACCCACTTCCAGAGTTCCGGGTTCGCTATTTAGGCTATAGCAACCAGCTCGCAGTCGACGCGGCTGAACCGGAGGTGTGCAACGCCCTTCTCGCGATAGCGTCTCTGCCAATCGGAGGAAAGGAAGTACCTTTTCAAGCATATGAAGCGGTTAATCGCGATCAAATCAGAGGCATCATTCGCAATGCTGGAGACATGACCTCTGAGGAACTAATGAACTCATTACATTGCCGCAAGTGCAAAATCCTGCAGGCACGCCCACTTGGTGACAAAGGCACTGCCATGGTCACATTTGAAGGTAACAGCTTACCCTATAAGGTTGGCCTGCGGTCATTTACGATCCGTGTTTTTCCGTATCGTGCACGAGTGACCGTTTGTGACATATGCCACAAGATAGGGCATCGCAAGGAGCAATGCCCCAATATTTCGGCAGCTAGATGCTCGACATGCGGTCTGCGGCAACACGAAGAGGGTACGCAATGCCCGAACACAGAACAAAAGTGCCGCAGCTGTGGTGGGTCTCACCTGGCCACAGCCACGAACTGTCCAAAAAGACGAGAAGTAAAGAAGAAAATTGAACAAAAACGCAAGCCGGCTGCCAAAAGGCAACGCAAGCAAGTGAATACGCAGGAGCAACAGCGCCGCCCTTCCGCGACACAAGGCCTACAAAGACCCATGCTCAAACCAACACGCCAGGGTTTTTACACCGGGCCGCCAGCACCACCTGCTGCACAGTCAGAAGGCGCCGGGGGCACCACCTTCGCGGATGTAGTTCGACCAGCGAACGTGCCGCTAACTGCTTCTAGTAATGGTATACCACATCCATCAAACTCAACACTGGGGTCCTGTGCGCCGCAGCCCGCCTCGGGTGGAGGGACGAAGCATCCTCGAAGGGGCGTAGCTCAGTCAACGGGGCTTCCGCTTACCAGTGACCATTCACGTCCTCCCGCCCCAACGACTTTCCAAGAACTCGAGCGGCGACTAGAACACCGTATGGCTCAAATAGAGAAATCCATTCATGAAAGAGTTGAACAGCTTATCACTCGGGCCATTGAAAAATGCGTCCAGACCACCATGGAGCGCATCATGCTTTCCGGCATGCTCCCTCTTGGCACAACTTCGACGACAACCG